GGAAAAGATTGCGTGCGATACATTGGACAAAGAAAAACCCATGAATACATCATCAAAATGAAAAAGGAATGGACTGTATTTATATTTACAGAACCATTTTAGTAAAACAACTGAAAAGAAATTAACAAGCATGGCCACATGAATATTGTCAAAACGTCGAGAGAAATAGAACTCGTAATACGTGTGATTTAACTGAACATGAATCAAATAAGAACTCGATGTCCTTTGTGCATTTATTTTTGATTTAAATTACACAAAGTAACTACAGCAATATACGCCCTATTTCGTTCCCTGCAGAGATCGTATCCCATTAAAACATTAATAAAGATCGTAGCTGGTTGCGTGCCTCATGCTGTAAAAACATATTAAGATGGGACCCTCGAGGATAAAGAATAAATTCCTATATCTCACACATTATTCACTTGGATTCAAAATAAACAGATAGTAGAGTGACAGCCATTCCAGTGTTATGCGATTGAAAAGCTACTTAGGATAGCAAAAGGAATCAATGAAGCCAACTGGTAAAACCTGACCTAGATGATTTCAAGGTCTCTCCTTCCAATGAATTATATAACAGTACTGGTACCGACAAACGTAATGGTTTTCTAGACTATAGACACGCATTTTTATTACACCATTCACATCAGAAATCAATAAAAATCATATGCATTATCAAACAATTCTAAACATATAGGATATAGTAACAACCCGACTGAGACGACCTCTGTCTTGACACTAACAGTATGAAGATATATATTATTTTGGTTTTATTGTGTTTAGCGTCCTTTTAACAGCCAAAGTCATTTAAGAACGTGCATGTTTGTAATGTGTGCCGAAGGCGGTATATTGGTGTATTTGCATCCTTGTGATAGCACGGACCTGATGCCGAATTTAGAGTGCTACCTCACTGAAACACCCACACCGAAGGCACCGAGCAGTATTCACCTGGTCACAGTATACTTGAAATGGATGCAGTAGTTGTTGCGATTACCCTAAATGTTGAACGTTTAGCATGGAATAACAAGTACCATTTTAAGGACTCATGTGTGCCCCGGCCTGGAACAGAACGGTCAACACTAAGGCCAAAAGTAAGATATTACCAAGCAAAGCTATAGGAAACAAAACAAAATTGTTGTGAGGTAGAAATAAAAAAAAATATAAATATCCCAAATGTTGCAATGGGAGTAGCAGATATGTTTTGGCCGTATTTGTGTTCCCTAGACGAGGACACAAAAGCTATTCCCCAATTCTGTAGGGGGATCCACATTAGTTACAACATGCAGTTGGTAACCCGACCTACTGACAAATTGAAGACATATTTTCATCATGAAGACAAATCTAAAAGTGTTGAGACCTGTTGGGCATGTGACGTGATAGAACGTACATCGGTGTAGAAATGTAAATAAATAAGTTGTATAGTGTGTAAACAGAAAATATCTCAGTATTATTCCAATGAAAAGAGCAATGTACACTGGGCCGATTCTCCCTACATATATAATACCGTTCTAGTATTGTCCTGTTTGCCGTGTCAACATGCTGTTCTGATAAATCTTTATAGGTATTGAATACCGCACTGGATTGGCCTGATTTTCACAGTAAACATGCTTTATTGTAATAAAACTAAAAGAAAAAGAGAACAGAAATACTATAAATAAATAACATTTCAAAATTACCTGTTTACTGTGACATTACTCGATGGTCCCTGCAAGTACACGCTGATGTATACACACTATCATGAAATTGAAAATAGCAATACACAACTCAACTTATTTATTAATTGATATTTATTTTTAAATGCCTGTTTTAAATGCGTGATTGAACGTAAGACTAAACAAAAATGCAATAAAACCTACATATTCCTTTTAAGGAATTCTCCGCCATCAACTGCCGATATTAACACCTATACTCAAACATTCGTATAATTTATGTCTTTAAATGTATGTCTACACATGTGGATAATAAATGTTCGTCGCCAAATTCTGTTGGCCAAGTGGAAATAACTACACTCGAATCCGCTTGACTTGAACATTGACTGGCATATTGGGTAGTTTGATTTTTAATTTCCGATTTAACATATTTACAGTGAATGACACGCTCCAGGCGATATCCTGAATTAAAACCCATACGGTATAAAACATGACAAGACAACATAACCATGCAGAGCTATAAGGAAGACGGGCTTAGGAGTTATGTAATATTTGTTTAAGTTTTGTCTAGTTCTGCTAAGTACCTTTCTCTTTTGATATTGAAATACAGAATCAGTCCCTGCAAACAGTGCGCCGCTCATATGCGCATTATTGTGTCGGAATTCACAGTAATCTTACCTGAAGTAACTAATCAGCAAGGATTTAATCAAGCGTGACTAAGATTGTTACCTAATCAACTTTCGGTCAAGGTCAATCGTACTTGAGTTCGGATTTATGTAAATCTCTTATGCTAATTTATAAACCACGAGCGAAATTGCAGTGGTTTATAATCACCAGTTAATGGCGCCATTAGTATTACCGTTACATGTATCTCCTGCTACTGAAAATGACAGAGAGGGCACTAGCTTCACACTCCTTCCCAAACATATAGATATCCTACGTGATAACCATAAGTTATATTCGGTCGTAGGTCAGGTGGTGATGATATAAACTGGTTCAAACGAGGAGCTGACCATCTCCTTAGGCAAAGCGAGGGCGGGGCAAACAGTGGTTATACATTTAAAATGGTAGAGATCCCAGTGCTATCTATAATTACCTATATATATCAAGGCGGCCAGGGTTCGATTCCCCGATCGGACGTGAATAGGTTTAGGGTCACCTGCCCGATTACGTGGGTTTTCTCCGGGTACTCCGGTTTCCTCCCACAATAGGACCCCGCGCGCTAACATCCGGGCCAACAATAGTGATTAATATAGGTTGAAATAACTTATTTCATAATTGTTGTAAATAATTAATAAAATAAAATGTATAACTACCTATATAAACAATCGCTGATTATGAACATGTGTCTGTAGGGAGAGTATTGTGTGTGCTTAATCTTTTAATTCTCCCGTATAATCACACTGTAGAACTAGATGGGTGGCGGTATCAATGTACATAAAGCCACATGTATGACATAATTCTCTACCCTCACACTCCGTGATAGTTACAATTAACTGTATGACATATTGCATGACTTCTCTTTTGTCTGGAGATTTAATTGCTAGTCTCCATGATACGTGTGGTACTACCTAAATGACTGGGCAAGAGAAAATCTAGAATAATCGTCACCATTGACCATTCTTTCTCGCCACGCGAGTTTACGACATTCATTAACTATAACACACCGCATACATTTAGACGGAAAAGTACAGTTAGTTACAAAACATTAAACATTGGAAACAAATCATATTTTTGTAGTATTCTTAATATATCAACCCCGACCTGTAAAAGAATATCAAAATCACTATGGTTTTCATACGATTATTCATTGACAAGATTACTTTAGTGAGCTTCATGTATCTAGTCGTTTGGCATTAAACACGAGTCTCATGGTAAATGATTCCTTTCTTTTCGATCGAGGTACACATGTGACAAGTCACATTAGTTTCGACTGCGGTTTTATTTTGTATGACATATGTTTGTCATTCATAGACACGTACTGGTCATCATATACACGTAATGGTCAGCATCGGCCCAGTGTTTACCACTCATAGGCACGTAATGGTCATCATTGTCCTAGTGTTTACCACGCATAGACACGTAGTGGTCACCATTAGCCCAGTGTTTACCACTCATAGACACGTAATGGTCACCATCATCCCATAGTTTACCACTCATAGACACGTAATGGTCAGCATTGTCCCAGTGTTTACCACTCATAGACACGTAATGGTCACCATTATCCCATAGTTTACCACTCATAGACACGTAATGATCATCATTGTCCCAGTGTTTACCACTCATAGACACGTAATGGTCACCATTAGCCCAGTGTTTACCACTCATAGACACATAATGGTCATCATTGTCCCAGTGTTTACCACTCATAGACACGAAATGGTCACCATTATCCCATAGTTTACCACTCATAGACACGTAATGGTCAGCATTAGCCCAGTGTTTACCACTCATAGACACGTAATGGTCAGCATTGTCCCAGTGTTTACCACTCATAGACACATAGTGGTCATCATTGTCCGAGTGTTTACTACTCATAGACACGTAATGGTCACCATTAGCCCAGTGTTTACCACTCATAGACACATAGTGGTCATCATTGTCCCAGTGTTTACTACTCATAGACACGTAATGGTCACCATTATCCCATAGTTTACCACTCATAGACACATAATGGTCACCATTAGCCCAGTGTTTACCACTCATAAACACGTAATGATCATCATTGTCCCAGTATTTACCACTCATAGACACGTAATGGTCGCCATTGTCCCAGTGTTTACCACTCATAGACACGTAATGATCATCATTGTCCCAGTGTTTACCACTCATAGACACGTAATGGTCAACATCGGCCCACCCATAGACACGTAATGGTCAACATCGGCCCACCCATAGACACGTTATGGTCAACATTGTCCCAGTGTTTACCAGTCATAGACACGTAATGGTCACCATCGGCCCAGTGTTTACCACTCATAGACACGTAATGGTCAACATTAGACCAGTGTTTACCACTCATAGGCACGTAATGGTCATCATTGTCCCAGTGTTTACCACGCATAGACACGTAGTGGTCACCATTAGCCCAGTGTTTACCACTCATAGACACGTAATGGTCAACATTAGACCAGTGTTTACCACTCATAGACACGTAATGGTCACCATTGTCCCAGTGTTTACCACTCATAGACACGAAATGATCAGCATTGGCCCGGTGTTTATCATTTTAAAAACATATCATATTCTTCAAAACAATATTTAGATGCTTGAGACAGGATTTGGTATGATTTAAGTTAATGAAGCAATATCAAATTTGGAATCTTCAGTGATTATCTATTTCTGATATTGTAGATACGATAGCTGAGAGAAACGTAATTATACAACGTGTCTACCCAGAGCTGAGGGAGTACTGCCGGAACAGACATGGCGTCGAATTTCAGGTAAATAGCTCGTATGCATAACAGGTTATTTCATTTTTGAAGACTATATTAATTATGATTTACCGTATACAATGCCATTTCAACAAAATCCAGGTTTCTTTTGTGTTGCAAGTCGTTTCCGCTTACTAAAAGAAAGAATTTGTTTCAAATGTCCCAAATGTTTTAATGTAATTGTTGTGTTATTATGGATCAGAAGATACATATCCATGATTCTTTTTGAAATGTCCACGTATAAATCAGATTTTTATTCTTCTTCATGGCATTGTTTTAGACATTTGCCACATTGTGAATTAAAATATTTGGGATCTGAATGAGTTGAATTGATAGAGCTCAGTCAACAGTCATGGTTAGACATTTCCCTGCTGGTCTCCGAAGTAATATCTAAAGGTGTACCGAACTTACTACTAAGATTTAGAATTACCAATTAGCATTGGTTTGTAGATGATTGACCTTGATTGGGGAATACCGCCTTCAAATCTAAATATAGACAACACTCTTCCTGACTTCAAGCTTAGAGAGCTACAGCGCTGCCAGAGAAGTTCTGCAGGCCCCAATTTTGTGGTAGGTGACATTCATTTTCTAGCACGTTAGCAATTCATAAGAATTGTCAAGGAAATGATTGAAATATACCTTTTTAGTAAAACATTTCTTAAAAACATATAGGTCAATTGGTATTTGATCGTTGTTGTAACTCAAATGAAATGAAAATAAGTCAAGGCGAGAAGTATTAATATGAGGTCTTCGGTTCCCTATGTATCGTTTTGTGTCTTTGTCCCTATGCACAATCTTCTATGTCTATCTTGTTTTGTCATGATGCTAGCTCTTCGGAGATAATGTTGCATGTTTACGTACGGTAAATAAAAGTGAAATGCCCAGATAGCACATTGATAGTAAACAAGAAAAGTGTCAAATCTCGTGAGACATGTACACATGTTAACACGTGATTGCCTACCTCGCACTTTGTCACAAATAACCATATAATATAAAAAGCTTTATAACGAATTGGATCCTACTCAGCTAGTGTTGACACAAGCATGATTACAAACGTTATAGCAATAGGGCGTTGACAACACAGCTTCGAGTTAATCTGTTATTGAACCTGGGTATATTTATATATATTGATCTGGATTTATGTTACGCGACCGTATAATTCTTCTCACCCCACCCTCTTTGTAATGTATCCTTCGTAATACACGCTGTGGTGTTCGGAGAGTGTCAACGCACCATTACGTTAGCAGTTTTCTGATACGAAAATATCCTTGCTTGACACAGTGTTATACTTAGTTATGCATCTTCAATTATTACCTGTAAGTCATCTAGAGACATACATAAGTATATATCAAGTATTAAACGAACGTTTGCACCTGATAAGCTTATGTCCTTAAGGTTCTGAACCCTTCGTTTTAGACTCAAGGTACTGACGTTATAAGACTCAATGTTCCTTAATCCTTGTTATAGATTCAAGGTTCCTTAGTCCTTGTTTAGACTCAAGGTTCCTTAATCCTTGTTATAGACTCAAGGTTCCTTAATCCTTGTTATAGACTCAAGGTTATGAAATCTTTGTTATAGACTCAAGGTTCTTTAATCCTTGTTATAGACTCAAGGCTCCTTAATCCTTGTTATAGACTCAAGGTTCCTTAATCCTTGTTATAGACTCAAGGTTCCTTAATCCTTGTTATAGACTCAATGTTCTAAAATCCGTGTTATAGACTCAATGCTCTGAACAACTCGTTATAGACTCAAGGTACTGCCGTTATAGACTCAAGGTTCCTTAATCCTGGTTATAGACTCAAGGTTCCTTAATCCTTTTTATAGACTCAAGGTTATGAAATCTTTGTTATAGACTCAAGGTTCCTTAGTCCTTGTTTAGACTCAAGGTTCCTTAATTCTTGTTATAGACTCAATGTTCTGAAATACCAAGACTCAAGGTTCTGAAAACTTTGTTAAAGACTCAAGGTTCTGAACAACTCGTTATCGACTCAAGGTTCTGAAAAACTCGTTATCGACTCTAGGTCCTGAAATCCTCGTTATGGACTCAATGATCTCAAAACTTTATTTTTGACTCTAGGTTCTAACCAACTCGTTTTAGACTCAAGGTTCTGAAATCCTCATTTTAGACTCAAAGTTCTGAAATCCTCGTTATCGACTCAATGTTCTGAACAACTCGTTTTAGACTCAATGTTCTGTAATCCTCGTTATTTACTCTAGGTTCTGAAATCCTCGGTTTAGACTCAAGGTTCTGTAATCCTTGTTATAGACTCAAGGTTCTGAAGAACTCGTTATAGACTCAATGTTCTGAAATACCAGTTATCGGCGATAGGTTCTGAAATCCTCGTTATAGACTCAAGGATCTGAAATCATTGTTTTAGAGTCAAGGTTTTGAACAACTCGTTTTAGACTCAAGGTTCTGAAATCCTCGTTATAGACTCAATGATTTGAACAACACGTTATAGACTCAAGACTCTTAAATCCTCGTTATATACTCTAGGTTCTGAAATCCTCGTTTTAGATTCAAGGTTCTGAAATTATCATTATAGACTCAAGGTTCTGAAAACTTTGTTAAAGACTCAAGGTTCTGAACAACTCGTTATCCACTCAATGTTCTGAAAAACTCGTTATCGACTCTAGGTCCTGAAATCCTCGTTATGGACTCAATGATCTCAAAACTTTATTTTTGACTCTAGGTTCTAACCAACTCGTTTTAGACTCAAGGTTCTGAAATCCTCATTTTAGACTCAAAGTTCTGAAATCCTCGTTATCGACTCAATGTTCTGAACAACTCGTTTTAGACTCAATGTTCTGTAATCCTCGTTATTTACTCTAGGTTCTGAAATCCTCGGTTTAGACTCAAGGTTCTGTAATCCTTGTTATAGACTCAAGGTTCTGAAGAACTCGTTATAGACTCAATGTTCTGAAATACCAGTTATCGGCGATAGGTTCTGAAATCCTCGTTATAGACTCAAGGATCTGAAATCATTGTTTTAGAGTCAAGGTTTTGAACAACTCGTTTTAGACTCAAGGTTCTGAAATCCTCGTTATAGACTCAATGATTTGAACAACACGTTATAGACTCAAGACTCTTAAATCCTCGTTATATACTCTAGGTTCTGAAATCCTCGTTTTAGATTCAAGGTTCTGAAATTATCATTATAGACTCAAGGTTCTGAAAACTTTGTTAAAGACTCAAGGTTCTGAACAACTCGTTATCCACTCAATGTTCTGAAAAACTCGTTATCGACTCTAGGTCCTGAAATCCTCGTTATGGACTCAATGATCTCAAAACTTTATTTTTGACTCTAGGTTCTAACCAACTCGTTTTAGACTCAAGGTTCTGAAATCCTCATTTTAGACTCAAAGTTCTGAAATCCTCGTTATCGACTCAATGTTCTGAACAACTCGTTTTAGACTCAATGTTCTGTAATCCTCGTTATTTACTCTAAAAGTTCTGAAGAACTCGTTATAGACTCAATGTTCTGAAATACTAGTTATCGGCTCTAGGTTCTGAAATCCTCGTTATATACTCTAGGTTCTGAAATCCTCGGTTTAGACTCAAGGTTCTGTAATCCTTGTTATAGACTCAAGGATCTGAAATCATTGTTTTAGAATCAAGGTTTTGAACAACTCGTTTTAGACTCAATGTTCTGAAATCCTCGTTATAGACTCAAGGATCTGAAATCATTGTTTTAGAATCAAGGTTTTGAACAACTCGTTTTAGACTCAATGTTCTGTAATCCTCGTTATTTACTCTAGGTTCTTAAATCCTCGGTTTAGACTCAAGGTTCTGTAATCCTTGTTATAGACTCAAGGTTCCTTAATCCTTGTTATAGACTCAAGGTTCCTTAATCCTTTTTATAGACTCAAGGTTATGAAATCCTCGTTATATACTCAATGTTCTGAACAACGCGTTTTAGATTCATGGTTCTGAAATCCTCGTTATATACTCTAGGTTCTGAAATCCTCGGTTTAGACTCAAGGTTCTGTAATCCTTGTTATAGACTCAAGGATCTGAAATCATTGTTTTAGAATCAAGGTTTTGAACAACTCGTTTTAGACTCAAGGTTCTGAAATACTCATTTTAGACTAAAAGTTCTGAAATCCTCGTTATCGACTCAATGTTCTGAACAACTAGTTTTAGACTCAATGTTCTGTAATCCTCGTTATTTACTCTAGGTTCTGAAATCCTCGGTTTAGACTCAAGGTTCTGTAATCCTTGTTATAGACTCAAGGTTCCTTAATCCTTGTTATAGACTCAAGGTTCTGAACTACACGTTATAGACTCAAGGTTCTGAACAACTGGTTATAGACTCAATGTTCTGAAATACCAGTGATCGGCGATAGGTTCTGAAATCCTCGTTATAGTCTCTAGGATCTGAAATCATTGTTTTAGAGTCAAGGTTTTGAACAACTCGTTTTAGACTCAAGGTTCTGAAATCCTCATTTTAGACTCAAAGTTCTGAAATCCTCGTTATCGGCTCAATGTTCTGAACAACTCGTTTTCGACTCAATGTTCTGTAATCCTCGTTATTTACTCTAGGTTCTTAAATCCTCGGTTTAGACTCAAGGTTCTGTAATCCTTGTTATAGACTCAAGGATCTGAAATCCTTGTTTTAGACTCAAGGTTTTGAACAACTCGTTTTAGACTCAATGTACTGAAATCCTCGTTATAGACTCAATGATCTGAACAACACGTTATAGACTCAAGGCTCTAAAATCCTCGTTATATACTGTAGGTTCTGAAATCCTCTGTTTAGACTCAATGTTTTGTAATTCTTGTAATAGAACTCAAGGTTATGAACAACTCGTTATAGACTCAATGTTCTGACTAACTCGTTATAGACTCAATGTTCTGAAATACTAGTTATCGGCTCTAGGTTCTGAAATCCTCGTTATAGACTCAAGGATATGAAATCCTTGTTTTAGACTCAAGGTTTTGAACAACTCGTTTTAGACTCAATGTTCTGAAATCCTCGTTATAGACTCAATGATCTGAACAACACGTTATAAACTCTAGGTTCTGAAATCCTCGGTTTAGACTCAAAGTTCTGTAATCCTTGTTATAGACTCAAGGTTCTGAACTACACGTTATAGACTCAAGGTTCTGAACAACTGGTTATAGACCCGATGTTCTGAAATACTAGTTATCGGCTCGAGGTTCTAAAATCCTATTTATAGACTCAAGGGTCTGAAATCCTTGTTTTAGACTCAATGTTCTGAGCAACACGTTATAGACTCAAGGCTCTAAAATCCTCGTTATATACTCTAGGTTCTGAAATCCTCGGTTTAGACTCAAGGTTCTGTAATCCTTGTTATAGACTCAAGGATCTGAAATCCTTGTTTTAGACTCAAGGTTATGAACAACTCGTTTTAGACTCAAAGTTCTGAAATCCTCGTTATAGACTCAATGATCTGAATAACACGTTATAGACTTAAGGCTCCAAAATCCTCGTTATATACTCCAGGTTCTGAAATCCTCGGTTTAGACTCAAGGTTAAGTAATCCTTGTTATAGACTCAAGGTTCTGAACAACTCGTTATAGACTCAATGTTCTGAAATACTAGTTATCGGCTCTAGGTTCTGAAATCCTCGTTATAGACTCAAGGATCTGAAATCCTTGTTTAAGGCTCTAAAATTCTCGTTATATACTCTAGGTTCTGAAATCCTCGGTTTAGACTCAAGGTTCTGTAATCCTTGTTATAGACTCAATGTTCTGAACAACTCGTTATAGACTCAATGTTCTGAAATACTAGTTATCGACTCAAGGATCTGAAATCCTCGTTATAGACTCAAGGTTCTGAATAACACGTTATAGACTCAAGGCTCTAAAACCCTCGTTATATACTCTAGGTTCTGAAATCCTCGGTTTAGACTCAAGGTTCTGTAATCCTTGTTATAGACTCAAGGTTCTGAACAACTCGTTTTAGACTCAAGGTTCTGAAATCCTCGTTATAGGCTCAAGGATTTGAAATCCTCGTTATAAATTCAAGGTTCGTTATAGACTCAAGGCTCTGAAATCCTTGTTGAAGATACAAAAGTTCGAAATTGGCTTGAAAAATGCGCAAACATATATTACCTTCATATACTATCTGATAAGCGTTTATTATACTTTGCACTTTTGAAGTTGAGAGCAATATTTGCCTGTGTAAATCTTACATAATCTTACTGTCTAAATGTATCCTTTGGACACATTTATTTAAGACATCGCAAACTTTATAGAATCTTTTATCTTTTTCTCAAAATATTTCATATACTTTTAAGAATCTTATTTATCTTACATACATGATTTCTGAAAATCTGTATACCTTACGTACGATATCTAATAAAGTTGATAAGGTATCTTCTGTAACATATTTATTACCCCAGAACTCACTGATGCACTGTTAAGTTGGCTTGCCATAAATACGCCAATATATTCTGCTAGCTTCCCGTATATCATTGTGAACAGGTAGAAACCAGATAAAATGTAACAGGAACGACAAAGTATTTAAAGAATGGTTGTATTAGCTGGGCATTAGATATAGGTATACCAGTATGAACTTATAAGCCAGCCAGATTTGTAAGTTACTAAAGCAACTTTAGACTTCTAAATAGAGAATCTCGAAATTGAACCTTTATTTTTGTTTTACAACAAAACAAAATATTAAATAAATGAAAAAACCCCACATCCGTAAAGAGTTATGAATATATTGACGGGATGAAAATTGATTTTCGATTTCAAGTCTGATTATGGAAAGCACAAGAGGTCCGTTAGATACCCGTTTATTACGTAATTCATACCAGTTTGTTTTCATAAAACAATTTTTACATGTACATGTCGCCAGTTCTTAGTCATTTCGTTTCTTAATCCAACCAAAACTTAAATGGTCGGAGATAACAGAGAACAGATATTCTAATCTAGGTACTTTTTTATTAAGATTCTCACTGAATAGATCTGGAATCAGGAGTATTCATTCCTGTCTAGGTTTTTTAACTATTAACTGTTATGAAGCGTACTAGCATGCATGACATTGTTATCCTTTTTCTATTTGTGTTATTTAGGCGTTGATTGGCCAGAAGTATGGGGACCGGTTACTTCATTCATCGATTCCTGCCGAAGAGTTCGATACTTTGCGCATGTCACTTCATAATCATAAAGGAAGAGAAACTCGAAATGCTCCCATACTGGACACGTGGTATGCTAGGGACGACAACTCCATCGCGCCGGTCTATGTCCTGAGGCCCATAGGTGATATTATACCGGAGTATAAAGAGGTACGTCTCGTAAATTCACGATGACATTTTCTGTTATCTTCATATTGAAGATTCGAATTGTATTAATTGTCGTATATTCATTTAAAAAAAATCTAAAAAGGTTTCAAATGTTTTGAAATTTCGATCTAAAAACGTAAAAACGAAACCATACCTTTTTTTAGGTTTTGCTAATTCAATATTATGATGCAAATACAAAAACTCAAAAGCATTTTGTTTTTTTGATGTTTTAAGGTTTTGGTCAGGAAAACAATCTAATTATCAAAATAGTTTTTGAATTTCGAATTGCTAAGCGTTATGCAGACGGTATTAATACCTGCAAAAGACACCGTAATTTGCACAAACGCCTTTATTATGACTGTTTGAGAAGTCGGTAATATTGTTAATTACATTAGCAAATAAACATCTTTCTCCTGTCGATGATTAAGAGAGTTTGTCAAACGTTTTACAGGATGGTGATCGACACAGTGAGGGAGTGTCTAAATGGTTCGAGGTAAAGACGGAGATGAGACGACTTTTCCGGAAGGCCGCAGACTACTGTTATCTTGAAGGACAAATTACCAAGGAAACTAAGGACAAATACTCCATGTCAGGTGAGCATCGTATCTTCTTCTATTCATTTCTATTAATTTCCTGTCCTTTTTTCCTTTTAGTGTTAATAAACGTTTCTATGCGAATTTGAACGGTTTCATTGATTTCATGCTTAACCTAAGATATTCGTGATCAAAATATGTTGAGACAGTTTGGAATTGAAAATTTCTCAAAATGAAACCCAGTAATCCTGACTCAATATACTTGACATTGTTGCTTATTAGAGTCTTATTCCTTTCAGAGTTAGACAGCCACATTCATCAAGGTATTGAAGAGTCTGACAACCCTCTCAACAAGTGTACATTGATCCTCCGAAACATCGTCGATCTTAAGAATTATTTAGATGACCCAAAAGCCAAAACCTTCGCTGAGGTTGTCTACAATGAGAAGTACGAACAGTTTGAATTAGAAACGGAATCGACTCAGATGCTTACTAAAATGAAGGAGGATGCTGCTTCAATGGTATCACCGAACGTTCTTTCCTATGATGTATTGTGGCGTTATGATGACGTCATAAGCCCAGAGTTACACAAGGATTACCTGGACCAGTTGTATTCCGAGTTCAGCATATTGATGAAAGAGTTAGTCGACCGCTCAGTACCGACCACCGTGTACGATTTCCAGTCGGACATCGTCGAGGAGACTATGTATCACTGGTTGCGTTGCCAGGATATTGCCCGGACATTCTGTGGCAGGGAGGAGGAATACGGTCTCCTCACCGAGTACCTACTTGGGACATTCAATCAGCCAGTAGCCGTGTTCGGTCCACCAGGTTCCAGTAAGACTTCCCTGTTGTCAAAGGTGGCTATGGAGGTAGGCTTATTTCATTTGAATCAGTGAAATTGTGGAGATATCATCCTTTTTATCAGTTGCAAATTTGTCTTTGAAAATAAAAAAAGAATACTTCTTAAAAAAGGTTATGAAAACGTACTATAAGAAGACAATTGAAACTTTTGAATGTATCTTAAAATTATCTTAAAACCATAAATATCCTTTTTAGAGTAATAGGAATCGTACACAATATGGTTTTTGTATATAACTCAGTTTGCAAATATAGTTTTGGATCATTTGATGTACTAATTACAGAAGACTTTGTGAAAAGTTTCAATAACAGTACTTGACGTCAGTGTTCTTTCAACTGGTCATGTATATCTATATATGTGTCATGTCAACACATATTTGATTGAAAATCATTAATTTGTTTTAACCAACCAAAACATTCAAAATCTATTCACCATCAATTTGCTTGTTTTTGCAGACCCAAGAGATTGTACCAGGGGAGGTAATCAGTGTGATAAGATATGTCGGTTTTACACCCCGGAGCGCCGATCTGAAACAGCTCCTGTCAGGCATATGCACGCAAATACTCGCCTCCCTCAAGCGAGACACATCAGAAGTTCCCCACGACTTCAAGGATTTGCAAAAGTTCTTCCTAGCTTTGGTCAAGACGATTCCTTCTCACGTAACCCTGGTGCTTTTTTTGGATAGTGTAGATAACATTTTACCCGATTACAGCGCCCACTTCATGTCCTGGATGCCAAATCTACTGAACCGTAACGTGAAAATTGTGGTATCCACCCACCCGGAGAAAAACCAGATCCTCTCCGCGATGAAACAAGAGATAATCAGAAACGATAAAGCATTAGTTGAAATGAAGCCATTGTCTATAGAAGACGCTGAACGGATGCTAGTGTTTTTCCTCGGTCAGTATGGCAGACGAATCACCGCAACGCAGATGGAAGTGTTTAAAACTGCTATGAACAACTGCTCCCTGCCAATGTACGTTAGCCTATGCGCGGAACACGCCAAAATGCTCCGTTCGAGTGACGATATCAGTCTTAAGACACTTCCGACAAGTATACACGAGGCGATTCACTTACTGTTGAATGGTCTGGAAATATCTTATGGTGTACATTTCGTATCGAAAGCCATGGCCTACTTAGTTGCGTCCGTGACAGGTTTGAGTGATTGCGAGGTCGAGGATCTATTGTCTCTCGATGAAGATGTTATGTCCTCTCTTTATACCGACCACCACCCATTCCTAAGACGACTTCCTTCACTGAAATGGCTGCGACTGAAAGATGACATCCGAAGGTTTCTGATTGTACGTGAAGTGGATGGAGTGACAGCTTGTTGTTTCCGCCAGGAGGAATTCAACACGGTTATCAAGGAGAAATATCTCAGCAGTAAGGAAACAGCAAAGCAGGTGCACTCTATGATAGCAGACTACTTCCTTGGTACATGGCACGGTAAACCAAAACCTATTGTTCCACTCACGTCGACAGGTGATCAAAAACTTACAAAGGACTTTGGAAAGGAGGCAAACCGATATGTTCCAACACAGCCACTCACTTTCTTTTACGGGAATAGTACTGTGAGATTCAACAGGAGGAAGTACGATCAGGTTCCGAGGCATTTGTATCTGGCAGATCGGCTGAAGGAGCTCAATCAACTAGTCTTGTTCAACTACGAGTGGATGTATAACAAAATCAAAGCTCTCTCCTTACAACATATCATGGCAGACTTTGCCTTGAACCCAGGTGTCGAGGCCACACTTGTAGAAGAAGCTCTGAGAGTAGCAGGATCGGTAATCGAACGTGACATCAATAATCTGTCTCCTGAAATAACTGGACATCTACTGCCATACTATAGTAAAATGGCAAACATTCGGGCTCTTTTATGTCAGTGTGACACGGATGGCTTGAAACACTGTGCACTGATCCCAAACTTCCCCTACTTACAGGTTCCAGGAAGTTCTTTGATCTGCACACTGGATACAAGCATCACAGGAGAATTCTTTCAACTCTTTCAGGATGACCGGATCCTGCTGATCAAGCAAAGAGACAGTTCACACATACACGTTTACGACATGGCTGTTGGAGAAAAGAAGAAGAGCATATTCACTTCAAACGGTGCTTTACATACTACTCCTGATGGAAGATACTTTGTAATAGTTGACCATGTCACTGAAAAAGCCATCAAGATACACAACTCATCGACAGGGGACTTTGTCGGACAGCTTATAGTTCTCAATCACATCACGCTCAAACCCAAGGAAAAGTACAAGATGGGAGACATCAGTATAACAAATGACCGGATCTGCTTAGTTGTCACCACAGACTCCAGTTACCTCTGTATCGCAGATATTGAATCCTGTCACTTCTTGCAAATCATTAGCCTTGACGGCAGGTCTGACCTCTGCAGAATAACACCGAACGGAAAATTCGTCTTCTGCAATTCAAACGAATTTCTCCTCGGTTACGACTTGTACTCTCTCGAACACACTTGTACATTTTCCCTTGGCAGTCGGCCAAATTCCATGACATTTAGCAAAGATGGATTTCGTGGATACTTGTCGAGCGTTTTCGAAACAAAGCTATTAGTGATGCACTTGCATCGGGGAACAGTGGAAATGGCTTACAAAACAGTACTTGAAGAGGAAATGCCCGATGACACGATCATGCAACTGAAAATTTCCCCGAATGATGACACAGTTCTTATTCGTGGTTTGAACACTATTCTCGTTTACAGCAGATTTAACGAGAAAGTGATTGCACGGTTCTCAAGACCAAAAGATATTCCGAAAGAATTCAAACTGCCAAAGAGTCACTTTATCGACCTGTTCTTCACAGCGGCTGAATATACACGGGATGGCAAATTTGTGATTGGTACCATCTTCCGTAACATTTACCTCTGGCAGATCTCCACAGGTAATCAGGTAACCAGTATCCAAGCTCCGGTCGGCATCATCACGGAACTTCTGGTGTCAACCAAAAGAAGTCAGATCGTTACTCATATTCAGGGTGCCAGCAACATCCAATTGTGGAATATCGACGAGGCTGTCAATCAAGTGAATATGCTTGATCGCCTTACAGGACCAATCACTGCCGTGCGGGTAACGGGTGACAGTTCCATCGCATACGTCATGTGCAAGAGCAGTGACGAAATTGGCGTCATCGACATGCGCAATGGATCAATGTTGGATCTTCTAACACACGACAGTCCAGTGAGTGACTTTGCCATCACACCCACTGGCAGTTACGTACTGGTGTCCACTCTGTCCAAGAAGCTAAATATGGCGACCAAGCTGTGGGACATGACGGAACGTAGAATCATCAAGGAGTTCGGAAACACGACTGGATATTGCATTAGCGCCAATAATGATGCCTACATGATGTTTGTGGCCCAGGAACAACACAATTTCAAGGCACCTTTCAGTATTACACTGTTCAGGTTTGTTGGCGATACTTTCCACGAGTACACCCATCCCCTTGCCCTGAAGTACATCCTTGGTAAGCCGTTTCTTACCAACGACGACAAATATCTCGTGGTGCTTACAGCTCAGGATTATGTACAGCTGACTGCGTCATATGACACGCCAATCATTTGTACCTTTGCCATGGAGGAGGACATGCGAGTCTCATACTTCACTCCAGAGAGTTTCCAAGGAACGGCGAACGTGTCGAAAATCGTCGATGTCAAACCATGCCCAAAGAATCCATACACAATAGCGATTATGTACGAGTCAAATCGGTCATTGGATATCAACGAGAATGCAACAACGAACGGTTTCCCTAAGATGTCTCATGGACTTCTTATCCTTGACATTTGTAGTGGATCAATGATCGCCATGTGTGATCCATTCATGACAAACAGTGTGTCCATAGAAACCGGACTGGTTTATTCCAACGACTTCCAATTCTGTCTCGACGTTAACTCAAGCTACTTTGACATCAGCCAGTGTTGTTACCGGGGAAAACTGCCGAACCCTGGCGTGAGACCGAGTCTGACGGCACTCAACGATTCCGTCGTGGTGTACTATAACGAATGCGTTCTCTACGTCGTCCGAGTCTCTGACGGCAAACAGATTGCTAAGTGCAATGTTCATGCCAAAGTATGTCATTTACATCTTTGCAAAAATGATCGCACTTTCATCGTAGGATGCAGCGATGGCACTATTGCGTCATATGTGCTCATTGACCCTGATCATGAAGTACCCACTGACGTCATACAGACACTTCGAAGTCGACAAATAGACCTAACAGACGACGTGGATGGGAGACTATCCCGGTCCTGGGACAAGATTGAGAGTGGTGGTCACTCCCCCCAGTCCCGTCCTACGTCTGGGATGATAGGCGCCGGCCCGAAAGACAAGATTCTACTAAAACGGGTGAAACCTGTGCCAAAAGTGCGTCCGAACTCTGATACGTTCATGTACCTTAACTCTAACTCAAAATCATGTTCTATTATGTAAAAGTTTATCTTTACATTCTCAAGTTGATCCATATTTTCCATGTGTTCAAACGAAATTAATTATTTTGTCCGAACGAATAACAAACCGTCTCAATCGTTGTCGCTCTGTGTCCGTAGGAAACCAAGTTTATCAAAACATACGATTGAAAGTATCTATCCCGCAAATTGTAAAAGCCAAATTTTATTCAGTTATTACTTTATGTAGTGTAAATGGTGAAGTGTCATTTCTTTTGCTGAATATACAAAGCGTAATGACTTTGTTTAAAAAGACGTGCATAGTCCTTAGTAAAGCCAGTGAATGCGAACGTGCAAGCACATGCAATTTATGCAACCAGGCTAACCATCTCACATATAGCATGCTATCTGAGGATAAAATACAAGGGTATAATTTAGTGTGTGTGCCAATTTAAAGATATCTGTGATACTAGCTAGTCATGTATATTTCATCAAGTAGTTGTGAACACTTTGTTTTAGACTGTACATAATATAAATTGCCTGTTCATCTGTATGTACTGCAGGCTGTACTTAAATGCTGTACTACGCGTACATTTGTAGTTAGGGTAAGTGTTAGAAAATACCTGACTAAGGGAGACAACTCGAACAGAAATGTCACCTTTGAAACATTAAAAACTATTGTTATTCTTTCTGAAGGATACGTATATTTACTGTAGGAGTGGTTTTATATATGAATTGAATTTGTAATTATGAATTTATAATTTTACTGTGATATACACATTTAAGCTTAGTTCATATTGCAATATATATATATATATAAACGTGGTAACTTAAAGACATGCATAGTAATAGAATGTCCCATCTCAGAGTCAAATTAATTAAGACATGACCTCGACATAAAAGGTGTAACTAAAAGATCTAACTAAGACATATCATTGTAATAAAATGCTATGAGGTCGTGATAACGAGGTTTACCATGCATGAATATATGTGTAATTGTTTATATGCTCGAGACAGAAAGTGCTAATTTTGTTGAACCCAGAGCCCCAAATTTGGCAGTAATCCTATACCTAAAAACTGGATAATAAATGTCATTGTTTGAAAAACTAAACCTGCTTATTTATTTCCGTTACATGTAGATTCAATAAAGTGTTATTAACAAATAGTAGATGCTTACAGATCGTGGTACTCTCCTCGCTCTGCAGTTCTCCTGTTTAGAATTGTATTCAAAACTAAAAAGTGATAGTAACGCATGTAGGCGCCAAAACTAAAGTGCATCAGCGTACTGGATGTCGTGTCGGGTAGTGTACATGTATTTGTCGCTGAAATTATCAACAATATAATGAAACGTGAGGCTGTTGAATAAGTTGTGTTTGATTATTGATCTCAAGTACTCCTTCTAAATAGATTTAATGACACTCTCAGCATCACATCCTTTTCGTACCGAGTAACACGTAAACAACGTACATTGATTTTTGCTGGCGACGTTCTAGATGTTAGGTTTCTTTAAATATAATAAAGCATAAGGTAAAACATGTATAATTAACTTAATAAGCCTGATATATCATTTTACGATGTAGGTGTAAAGGGAGGGACGCGCTTTTTCAAAATCTAGACAGCCAGTTCAAACAATAAATATAATAAAACAAGTTGATCATTTACCATGTGCAACAGTTTTAATGATAAAACCAAAACAATGTTTAGATTGTTTATAAAAAAATGCATTTTAACATATTCAATTGTCAAATCGATTGGCTTACATACAAACAGAATCACAAAAAAACACGTCACATGAAAGGAAATTATGGGAGTGCATGGGGCTTTGTTAGCGTTTATGTACCGTGAATATGACTTTGACGCTTTATACAGGCAGACTATAACATGTACATGATCTTATGAATATTGCTTATACATAAATATGTAACGCCAAGAACCATAATAAATTGTTTCAAATTAAAACATTCGGCAGTGGTTTTGCTTTTTTTGTTTTAGAACCCAGGTATCAAAATTGAGCTATGGAATAGCTTTAAAATTTTCTCACTACAAAGTAAACATACATTGGCAAGATACTAAGTAAAAACACTTCACCCTACTGAATTTCTTGTTGTCCAATCTGATTAAAAATGTCTGTTACATGGCTTCGTTCACGCTGGAACAGGCATAGTACGAAGTTAACGGAGCTATGTAACAGATGATTCTAATCAGATTGATTGTTGTCAAAAAGATGATGTATGTCTGTTTCGGGAAGTGGCCAAATGTGCAGACGGATGAAGTCGGAAGTTAAACCTGAAGTTCAGACCATCTCCTTTCAGAAATTATACATCCAGCAATGGCCATGGTCCTTGTTTCTCCAGTTGTCCCTGAATGTAGATTTGTCGAACACCGAGATTATATTATTTCCATTTTATGTTCTTGTTTCCACTTCGACTTCTGTTTGGTAATTTAACTTTTAAACATTGTAAAGCAAAGAATCAGGTTAATGCTATATATATATATAATTCCGACTTCGTTTCACTCTGTCCAGTTTATATCATAAATCTGGCAAGGAGAAATACAAACACAAGCTGAACATTTACTCTACCGGAAGTGACGCTGTTAGCTCCATCGCAAACTAAACTATCTCCGCTGAATGGTTGCAGGATGGTTATGATGTTGGCTAGCGTACCGTTGTTAGGAGATGGAGTTATACCAAGTAGTTCACAAACCAATGGATAAACGTCAACCGAATTGAGAGGCGGAGCCAAAAGGTTTGACCGGAAGTTAGGACCCATGGCATAGAATATCGGCTTCATTGACATCAGACCGTTGTCGTATCCATGGTTACCTTTACTCGGATAAAGTTTACTGCGAGTGGCATTCTGAAAAAGATGTAAAATTAAAATATCATTCCTTATTGTAATTCGAGACTTCCCCTTATTCACTAAATAAAGCAGTTGTTATCACACATCTGAGATGTTTTGTTATGTAATTAATATGTAACTAGTGAAATAATATAAAATAAGAATTCAATTAAATCAAAAATTAAATAAAATGATACTAAAATCTAGCAAATAAAAAATAACGCAATTGTGATTAGTTGAGAGATCAAAGTGTCTTCTGAGACGTAATAGCCAGAAAAAGAGAGGCAATTCATCAATTTTCAAAAGGACAAAGTTGCCTATTATCTACCTATATATTTAAAATATGTATTGTAATTATCTAAAACAATGGAACCCGACTTTGTTAACATTTCGTATGACAATTTCGTTCGATCATAGGCGAACTTATTTCATAATGCTATCTCTTTAAATACTCTTAGAAATATTAATTAAGTTCATTTATTATCTATAAACTTATGTTTGTTTGGGTTTTAACATCCCCAGAACAGTCGGGGTCATATGAGGATGGGCGCCTAGGGAGGCACCGCCGGAAAGAGAAAGTATATAGGTAAGAAAGTAGACAGGAAAGACAGGAATCGAAAAAGATCTTTTGCGTTGCAATGGGGGCAGCAGATCAATTTTGGTCTTTTCATTTCCTCTTAGTAGAAGACAAAGAAGAAACCATCCCGATTCTGCAGGAGCCCAATATCATTAGCCTCTTATGATCATGCAGTGAGATACAGTAGGCCCATTCTTTTCCCGAACTTGCACGGGGTATAATCTTATGTTATCAGTCTTCGACATCCTGGATATTGTACTTAACATACAAACCTATGACAATGATATAAAACCAGAACATTAAAAAACTGATTTCGTTTCTTTGACACATATCATCATATAAGTTACTGACCCACGTTATGGTCCAGCCTTCGTCGGCCACCACAAAGATCGGCATCACCCTCCGGTTGTTCTTGTAGTGCCACCTATCCGGTATATCAGCTTTTCTATAGGCTGTGAAGTTCGGATGACTATTTATATCATTTATAATGGCGTCCTCTTCACCATTCTCTGGAATCACGTGCATGATCGGACCACTGCCTACTGTGATATTGACCAGGGATTTATTCACTAAATCGTATATCTCGACAAGTTTGTTGTCGTAATCTACTTCGGCCATCCCGTGGTCACTTGTTAGGATGAAGTTCACTTTATCTTGGAGTCCGTTTTTGATCAACTTGTCCAAGATAGTTCCGAGAAGTTCGTCCATTTCCGTGATCTTATCGACAACTTCCTGTGAATCTGGTCCGTATCTGTGTCCGGTACGGTCCGGCTCGTGAAAATATGTAGTTACAAAGTTGTACTTGTCATTTTTTAGCATGTCAATGACTATGTCTATTCGTTGATCGAAAGTAATAGATTCGTTGTAATTGTACCACTTATTTGCATGAATACCCTGAATCTCCACCTCACTTCCGGGCCAGAACATGGTACCGGAACTTAGACCTTGCCTCCGGGCCGTTATCCATAGGGGCTCGCCACCGTCCCACCATTTTGTCTCACGTGACCTCATCGTAAAGAATTCGCCAAACTCCGGGTCATACATGTTGTTTCCTACGATCCCGTGACTTTCATCATAAAGTCCTGTGATGATCAAAAATAGAATTGACGTATTGTATAATTAATTCCATATCAAATATTTATACAACATAAAATGAAATATCACCCAACAATTGTATAATGAGTTTATAATAGCAATTGAATCGCCTTACTTCTACGGAAAAAAAGAGCGATAAAAAGTACTCAATCACTTACATGTAATAAGTGAAGAAACGGACGAGGACATACGTAACATAATTAGTACAGGAAGGAACAAGATCAATTTATAACTATTATTTACCAGTCGCATACGTGACGAAATGGTTAACTCTTTAATCGCTCGTATTCGTGTAAATTTGCCTGTATGGTACAGGTTATTAGTTGGAAATATATATAATCGCCTATCCTGCTTCCGTCAATAGTGGTCATAAATATAAAATTGTTTAGTTACGTCATCAGAAAAGATAGAGAATTTCATAAAAACGGCTTCCGGTTCGAATGACGCCGACGGAAGAGTGTATAGAAGGTCAAAAGAAAGTCAACAAGGAATTGGGGAATCAGACACCCGACTCAAGATGCGGGTCATAAATTTGTCACTGTAAACTGATGACGTTACACACTATTGTATTTATGGTTAGGGTAGCACGTGGGGAGGTTCCATTCGGATTTCCCACAGACACTGAATTAGCCTGAACATCTGTTCAGAACTCTTTTATAATGAAGAGAGCAGAAACGGTCGGGGTGTCCTTAATATTGTATAAATTAAGTATCGCATATTTTTATTGTTTGTAATGTCATAATGACGTCATATATATTCAGGCATTTCTCTTAAAAATTCTTACATGTTTAAATACAACTGTGAAGTAAATCAATTGTAATATTCCACTGTATTACGTTAACATACTTGTAAATTCCAGACAACGTATTTAACTTTTTGTGTGAACGTGTTTGTAACATCCCAAACAAGCGTTTATTTTAATTCTACTAACTACCATGAGAATGTTCGCTACACGAGGTGTTTCCAAGAAGGGCAACGTGAACGATGTTTTGGTGAAATGCGTGACAATGTCATCATGCCATCATTCACAATAAGACGACACTTTAAGCCTACTTGTCTCTTTTTAGCTGCAGTTTGTTACAGAGGTACCTTCACTGAGGTTGTAAAAAAAACTCATTAAAAGTGATCCCACATTTCAACTGCAAATTCCTCCTAGATATTTCTAATGTCAAGGAAACTATTGATTTCTAGTCCGAGTTTCCTTTGGTCCAGACATCTATCTGTCAAAAGGTCAAAGTCTGGTGTCAGGGCCAGAGGAAACTGGGGCTCAGACTGGTGTCATGACCATAGAAAACCGGGGCTTAGTCTGGTGTCAGAGCCAGATGAATATCAGACTAGTTGATTACTAGACTACGCTATTAAGATTCCTACCTGTAGCGATGCTGTAGTGGGCCGGGAAGGTCTTGGTGGTGAAGGTACTGGTCATGTACTCCGCTCTCACACCATTCTGCGCCATTTTGTCAAAGTTGGGCGTGGCTGCTTTTTCAGGGTAATCATACCTGAATCCATCCATGGACACCAGAAGAACTTGATTGGCATATTTCCTACATGTGTCAGCTGTTTCCCCGGTGATACACACCATCAGCAGTATCAGAACAGACATACAATGGCTTGTCTTGGCCATGGCCTCAGGTCAACACACCTGTTTCAATCATACAGAAATATATTATCTCTTTTACCTGGTAATATGTTTTTTCCTAATATTATGTAAATGTTATAATTTTCCCAGAGTATGAAGAAATTTCGATTCATGACAAAGACAACAAGACAACAAGAATATATTATAGAATATTTGCTTACATACACTGAAGCCCGCTTTTTTTGTTGCATTCCATTAATTTTCTTTGAGAAAATATATGTAAACACCTGTTGTTGACGTAATTATAAATCAGAAAAAGACACTATCCTTTTCCAATAATTGGCTAACCCATGCAAAATTAAAAACTGGCTTCAGTACCTGTTGTTACAAAGACTGTACCTATGCTACAATGTGACATATACCTATTATTTAGTATTTGTAACCAGGTTTATGACCACTTTAAACCAGGCGTCGTGGCAATAAATAGCCATTCGTGACATTGTCGTATTTTAATAGTAGGGTAATGTAAATTTGTTGGCACGTGGTTGTAGATCCTTATAAGATAGCGCTATCTTCTGTTATTCTTCTTGACACGAAATTTATTGCAGCAATAATAACAACCAAAACAGCATAGGCTGTGATGAGTCTAACAACTGGGCTCACATCGACTGTATTAGCATGTCATCTGCTAGCTTCCAACATCACACTGACCATCCGTCGGAGAACTGGCACTGTCCTAAATGTCGGTCCATAGACGAAACAAAATTCCCCTGTTTACTATGCTACCAACCAGTGAAGAGCTCACAAAATAAGTATGTTTGTGACAAATGTAACCAATGGGTCATGTTGAGTGTCTAAGTTCAGACTCTATTTCTCTTTCCGATACACAACATCTAGAAAATACATGGACCTGTCTAAAATGCAGTAATGTCAACAATTCAAATAGATTGTATGACTTCATAGTTGTTTCGTCACTCAGTTCTATTGAAAATAATGACCATCACAGTACTAGTAGTTTATCTCATAAAACCCATCCATCCCTATCATTGTCTATCACCCAAGAATGCTCGGACGTTCACCACAATTCACTATCTAGAGACAACTCACACCTTGATAATACGTTGCCTTCACCAAGAACAACTTTGTCACCTATTCCACAAAAGAATTAAAAATCACCTGTGCCCAAAAAACCCATCAAATCTTAGATCCAAACGTAACGAAATCTCACTCCTAATTAAATCGGCTAAACCTGACGTCTTCATAGGTACAGAAACCTGGTTAAAACCAGAGGTCAGTGATAGCGAAGTATTTTCCTCTGATTTCGAACTGTTCAGAAATGATAGGACCTCGTCACGTAGCGGCGGAGTCCTCGTTGCTACTAGGTCAAATCTAAATGCCACATTAGCCTACAGAAGTGACAAAGTAGAACTTGTAGCCGCTAGAATCCATCTTGCAAAGCAAAACCCCATAATAATAGCCTCATACTATAGACCACCCAATAAAACTGACCCACAGTTCATAAGCGACTTAGTAATGGAAATCACCAACCTATACAACACTTTCCCAAACCATACCTTTTGGCTCGGGGGTGATTTCAACTTGAGTGACATCAGCTGGCCCGATAGTGTCATCACAAGTAGCAACAATCCAAACATTCTGAGTGAACAATTCATTGCTCTCTTCCATTATCTCGGCTTGAATCAAGTAGTGGACTTCCCCACTCGTTATAACAACACACTTGTTCTCTTTCTAACCAACATGCCGTCAGTTGTCAATAAATGCAAGGCTATCCCAGGTGTGTCAGACCATGATATCGTCCTAATTGACAATGAAATCTTAACTCCTCCCATAAAACAGCCAAGACGAACCATATTCTTATGGAGCAAGGCTAACATCACCCTTATGAATGAGGAGGTGAAAGAAAAGCTGAAATGTATAGTAGACCAAACTATGTCTGTTGACCAGGCCTGGTCACATTTCAAAAATGTCCTTAATTCAGTTATTAAAACCCACGTACCCCAAAAACTAACGAGGTCAAAATTCACCAATCCCTTGGCTAATAACAACATAAATAGGCTAGCCCGACAAAAACGAAGATCCTATAACAAAGCCAAGGAACACACTAGACAAAAGACTGGGACCGGTACAAGAAAATAAAATCCAAAATGCACAAAGAGACCAGAAGAGCCTATAGTAGTTACATGCATGACATCATTAGTCCTGAGCTCATAGAAAACCAAAACGATTTTGGAGTTTTATTAAAAGTAAAAAAATGGATACAAACAACATCCCACCAATTAGGAATCCTGAAGACGGCCTTACATATTCTGATGCAAAAAGCGAAGCATACATAATAAACCAACAATTTCAGTCCGTCTTCACCAAAGAAAACCTCTCTGAACTACCCGACTTAGGTCCGTCACCATTCAGACCAATGTCACGCATCACCATCAGCGAACCAGGTGTATATAAGCTCCTTCAGAATATCAAAATTCATAAAGCCACTGGTCCCGATTCCATTCCAGCCAGAATCATCCATGAATTGGCAACAGAAATCATCCCAGCACTATCAATTATCTTTCAAAATTCCCTCGACTCTGGCACCGTACCACACGATTGGCGAGAAGCACACATCGTGCCAGTCTTCAAAAAAGGGGATAAACAAGCTGCTGAAAATTATAGAAATGTCTCACTTACCTGTATCACATGCAAATTATTAGAACATATCATCCATAGTAACGTAATCTCCTACCTTGAGCAAAATAACACCCTAACAAATTTACAACATGGTTTCCGTGCAAAATTCTCTACTGAAACTCAACTAATTCTAATTGACGACATAGCAAGGAACCTTGATAAAAATAAACAAATTGACGTCGCCCTTTTAGATTTCTCGAAAGCATTCGACAAAGTCCGTCATGCAAGATTACTTTCCAAACTAGAATTGTATGGGGTAGATCCAGATACTGTTGGTTGGTTTTCCTCTTTTCTGAACAACAGACGACAGAAAGTAATAATTAAAGGTAGCAGCTCTGATAGCGCCCCCGTCCTATCCGGGGTACCTCAGGGAACGGTTGTTGGCCCACTCCTCTTTTTGGTCTACATTAATGACATCATCGACTCAGTTTACTGCGACATCAAACTCTTTGCTGACGACTGCTTATTATATACAGAAATTAATTCATTAGAAGACTGTCAGAAACTGGAAAAATACCTCAAATTCTTGGAAATCTTGGAGGGTAAATGGCAAATGAATTTTAACGCCAAAATATGTTCTATCATCAACACATATAGAAAGAAAAATCCAATTAAGTTTAGCTACTCACTGCACAATCAAGTTTTGGAAAATTTAGACTCTAGCAAATACCTAGGGGTAACTTTCACCTCAGACCTAAATTGGGATAAACACATGCAATCCATCACCAACAAGGCAAATAGGACACTGGGATTTCTGCGTCGCAACATGTCATCATGCACCAGAAAAGTCAAAACCCAGACATTCACCACACTAGTAAGACCATCACTAGAATATGCAGCCACTTGCTGGGACCCTTTTATTTCAAACCAGGTCCTAGCATTTGAAAATGTACAGCGTAGGACTGCCAGATACATATTGATCATAGATCTAGAGAGCCTGGATGTGTCACCAACATGATAAATATACTTAACTGGGAGCCCCTAGCCCAGCGAAGAACTAAAACCAGGCTCATGATGTTATATAAAATAACAAACGGACAAGTGGCTATTGATCCATCCCAATTTATAACATCAGGCGACAGGAGAACCAGAGGGGCCCACAGAATTAATCAAATATCAACCCGAACACATTTGTATAAATATTCATTCTTCCCTAGAACTATTGTTAACTGGAATTCGCTATCATCATTCCTAGCACAGGAGCCAAACCTGAACTCTTTCAGGTCTGCCCTGGCTAGTTTCAACCTTCCATAAAGTGTTTTCTGTTTTTATCTTATAATACAAATTAACAAAAATCAATGTTTTTAACATTTTTAATGCCACCTCCCAGGATCAAGTGCACTCAAACCTTTGAGTCTGATCCTTGTAAAGGAAGAAGAAGAAGAAGAAGAAGAAGAGGAAGAAGAAGAAGAAGAAGAAGAAGAAGAGGAAGAAGAAGAAGAAGAAGAAGAAGAAGAAGAAGAAGAAGAAGCAAATATCCGATCGCCTTGCTCAAGTCAATATTTTATATGTTCATATTTGGTTCATTTTTTAAATACTTATTTTAAATTTCACATTTCTAAACCGAGTTTGTTTTAAATAATTCCACATTTTTACTTTCGACAATAAAATTTGGCTCATTCACGCGTTGAAAACCAATTAAAAAAGGATTTCACTAAAACCTTGTCAAATACACTCACTTAGATAAATAAAAACATCGCCTTTCAGAATGACATAAGACAGAAAAAACACATGCATATTGTACGTAGTCATAGAAGCTGAAGTTAATCGGGATCAGTCGGAACTTCCCGTAAACGGGTCGTTTACGGAAAGTGCCGACGGTTTCCGATTGAGCTTGAACAGTCATTATGTTGAATCTGATGGCATCTCCTATGATTTGGCTCCACTGGCGTCATTGCAAGAGTATAGGATACTCTACCGATGACTTATAACAATTTTAAGGAGTGGTCAACCTATATATTGTATACCGTATGCGGTATGGTAATATTTGGGAATTAACTTTCGAGATAGTACTCATATAATCGACCATCATGACTTGGTTAATTTCTTCATTGACAAAAAAATAAAAAATAACAGCCTGCTATAATTACTATTATATATATTCCTAAAATACGATATACGCCTATATATAGCTGTTAAAAAAGCAAGCTCGAGCAAACGTGTCCGGGTTGATAAGTTTACGTTATTTACTGGGAATAAGATTACCTGTCTCAAGATAATAGCTGGCTAACATTTCTTCAATCTTATGAAATTTAAATGTTACTTACTTAAGTGAGCAATGGCGGCTTCGTTCTGGGACATTCGACCACGCCACTACCAGAGCAGTGTCTCAATGCCCATACATTACGACCGTTATAAATGAATTAAATCGTTCGAAGGGATACTCATATTAACTAATCTAAAATTTAAAAGCGATGAAAAGAAGAAAACTAATGTTTTTCACCGCGTATTTTCTAAATTTACCCCATATATCGATGTAGATTCACAGGGACATCCTACCTACCACGGCTACCGTAGTTACCATCGTAGCAACCCGCTTTGACTGATTTCTTCGTATAGCATTTAACATTTTTTTGATGTAAATATAAAGATTGCCACTTATTTGGCGGCGTATACGGTAGAATGATGGGCAATCCCGATATAATATATACATTTCCCTGTGCATCATAGCTAAAACAGATGTATGCTTATTTAGAAAAGCAATATGTGGAGAGTAAACATAACGGAGCGATAAAATACGGTTAACGTCTCACGACCCAAGACGTGTACATTAATACTATGGTTTAATTTAGTTCAAGAATCAAAGCATGTTTACTGCTTGGAACAAACGTTCATGTATCAGCGTGATAGATTTTATTATCATTATTGTGAAAAAGTGTTAACTTTGAAGGTAGGAGGAGATCTAGAGTCGAGTGGGCCAGTAGGGTAAGAGTGGTCAGTGCTTCTAATTAATGAGTAGTGAGTGTCTGCGGAGGGTCTGTAGTTGTTTATTTGTTTACGATTAGGCGTGTAATTTAAATGTAGAGACATATTACTTGGTTCTGGAGATCTTATTAAGTTGTCAATTAAAGCTCGGATCGTAAGGGAGAATGTTGATTGAGAATGACCAGTGTCATGAGAACAAAGGGTGGTGTGTGCTACAGTGGAGAGAGGACAGGTTGTGTGTGTGTGTGATAGAAGGGAGTTTAGTTTTGTGTGGTGCACGAGAGAGGACGTAACTAAGGGAGTGGTGGTACGAACGTTGGAGTGACAACATGTGAGCAGTGAGAGTGTTGCGGTGAACGTATGGACATGTACCTGTATATATGTATATAGATGTAAATAAACTGTAAATAGAAATCAGTGCATTGTCTCATAATTATGACATCAAAGACAAACCATTGGCTCCGTCACATTTGGTGGCAATTCGGTGCATTTACATATCAACATATGAACACATTATAATGCTTACACAACAGTCAACAATAACTAGCGTATAGAATACACCTGTATTTTTTGTATATCTCCTTGCAGATAATGGCGGCTGGGGACTCGCATTTTTAATTTCCGTGAGCTTTTTGAAGATTACGTTCAGGCAAATGAATTCAAAGTGAACACGTCTTATATTTTACTGCATCGAGAAAATACTATAATATTCATACTGTATATACAATGCAATATAAATTAATTAAAATGGAATTATGTAAAGTTAAATACTTGCAGAACTGGAAGATATATGCTAGATAGACTTCCGGAGCACAGCCTTACTTCCCCGGCTGGGTGTACGGTGGCGTCTTTATGGACTCAAGGTCACTCTATTCCCGAGCAGGGTAAACACATCTATGACAGTCTTCTCTCCCCGTTAACTGCTACTGATAATCGTAAAGTCTATTAATATTGACCAATAAATTTTAAGATTGAATACAGCGTTATAAATCACCGTACCGAGTGAAACTGATCACGAGTTCTCAGGAGCCGCCAGCTGTCTCGGTGTGGCTGTGAGAGCGGATGTACGGCCGACTCTGTCTATACAGTGTCAGAGTAAAGTTTTTTGAATTAAATGTAAGGATTACAATTATTTTGAGAGTGCATTTTCTACACCTAGTGCACAAATATTTGTTCCATATCCGTTTTTAATATATTAGCCATGTCATCACCCAAGTGGTTTTGTTTATTGTCATAATCTGTCGAGGTAATATCTTAAATTCTATTTCTTTTGCATTTCTTTTCAGATACATATGATTTCTTTATGAAAACCCCACAGTGACGATTTTATATACCTAAAATCATCGCATTAAAAAAACCCTTTATATTAAAGAAAATTTCATATAAAGCTTTTCTTAGGCAACATCAGTGAACATCATGTAACGAAAAAGAAGGGGACTATTACGGCACGATTTCTCATCCCGACACGATTTCTCACCCGGGGGAGGAATTGTGCAAAATTGCTGCATTCGCAACACAATTCCTCACCCCTGTTCAATTTCTCATCCGGGTGACAAATCATGCAAACTATATGACCATAGGTGACACGTTTTCTCACCTGACACGATTTCTCACCCCAAATATCTTTCTCAATTAGGGTATTGTCTGATGGAGTTCATCTGTAGTGTTTTATTTTTTTCGAATAAACTTTATTTTACAACAATAAAACGTGTATTTGATTATTCAAGAACAAGGTGTAATATGCATATGTTGTCATGGGAGAGGTAAGACAGTCTTCGAAATCCGAAACGGTATAAATTCAGCCTTTTCTCTTCTGGATAATGGAAGGGCTGATCCTACTCGCAAATCCGTCAATGGTAACTGACACTCCCCTGCAAGAATATCGTAAGAGGCGACTAAGTTTGGGACCTTATCTCTTCTCTCCTTTGTAAACAACTTTCTTCTTTCTTATGTCTCCCTTGACAATGCCTCACTTTTGGCCATTTGTTGAGCGTTCGCCCCTGTGAGGAAGGCTTTGGGTTCTGTCCCCTGGCCGAGACATACCAAAGTCTTTAAAAATGGTAGTTTATACTCCTGCTTAACGCTCAGCAAATTAGGAGTGGGACGACTGGTTCGCCCGTTGTCAGTATAATGTGACCGGGTGGGGCGTCCTGCTGGGTGTCTTCGGCAGTATGTTTCAGTGAGGTAGCACTATAAAGTCGGCATCAGTTCCGCGCTATCACAAGGAGACAAACACGAACATATCGCAGCCTCCCAAAATACACACACATACACTACACGCATGCATCTTGCACTCAGGGGAGGCCGTCCTTAAATGACCTTAGCTGTTAATAGGACGTTAAACAAAATAAAACAAACAAACAAACAAAGGTAACTGACACACCTAGTTTGTTAAAGTATAAATGCACGTGAAAAATGTATGTTCTTTGTTATTATACAACCCACTGTCATCATACGATATTGGACCATTTTACACCACATTGAAATGTACTGTCGTATTTCAGTTTCAATTTACTTCTGTCTCTCTGTCTGTCTGACTATCTTTCTCTCCCTCTCTATTCTAGTATGTACAAAATGTATGCTTGTAGCTCCGGCTATAACATATCCATAACCATTCAATGTTTATAAGACGAAACTAAATCTAAAACCTTGCACGTACATCAACGACAGGTCATTAAATGGTACAAACAACACAAATATAAATCTTTACACAGGTACGTACATCGCTGACATTTTCGCTTGAGTGCAATGCCGTGTAAGTACGTGAAATCACTGCTTTAACTTTGCCAGCAAGAAAACGGATAATCGTTATAAGATGTGGCAGGGATAAGATAGCGTTAGAAAAAGAGAGGTGTAAATGGGCCTGTCGTCATATAGGGAAGCACGTACCGAATGGTACGAACATCGCATTAATATCTCACCTGGGCCGATAAGCAACTTGAGCTTATGCCGTGATGCGGCGTCCGTCGTCCGTCAGGCGTCAACTTTTTTACTTTAAACAACTTCTCAATAACCAAAAGGCATAGGGTGATGATATTTTGTCATTAGCATGCTGGGATGAAGGGCTACCAAAATTGCTCAAATGAATGACCTTTGCACATGTTTAAGCTCACAGGGGTCAACTATATATGTTCATACCTTTTTTAAAACGACTTCTACTGATTAAACATAAGTCTCAGGCTGATGATATTTGACCAGTAACATGCTGGGATAAAGGGCTACAGAATTCGTTCAAATGAGTGACCTTGAGTGATATTGAAGGTCACGTGGGTATAATATGTTTAAAACATTTAAACAACCTCTTCTGAATAACCAACCAAAAGACACAGGCTGAGGATATTCGGCCAGTAACATATGCTCAGATAAGAAACTTTGAAGATTGCTCTTATGTATGACCTTCACCTATATTCCAGGTCATAGGGGTCAAATATGATGAACATTTTCAAACAACTTCTTCTGAATAACCAAAAAGCGTAGGGTGGATAGCACAGAGAGATAAATACCAGATTAGCGATGCAGGCCCATTGGGCTTCTTGCTATTTTAAAAATAAACGACCAATGACGATCTAAACTACTTCATACCGTAATCTACCAAATGAGTCCGTTTACCGTCTCCGTATTGGTGGGGCTCTCTGGGTACGCTTGGGAGATTTGACGTCAGTAGAACTGAAGCCAGGAATATAGCAGAATGATATTTGAAGTCCATCTTCTTGGATGACTGGATGCATCAAGGGAAAAAGGAATCGCTCATTTTATAATGCTTTAATTGTTGATCCATCATTAAACATTAATTAAACCTCCATTAGTTAATGATTCATCAAGTAACCTTTCGAACAATCCATTTTTAATGGTACATAAACTAATCCGTCATTAGCGATTTAATGCATCATTAAGGCTTAATGATACTTTAATGATGACCCAATTTAATGATCGTTCGAGCAACTGGACCCAGATCTTAACGTTAATCCAACATTTATTCAACGTTGGACTGACATTTAAATTCTTTACGATATGTGTATTCAAGAAAAGGCCGAAGTCATGTACAGCAGAATAGCAAGAGTTATATCCCTTTGCATGTATCTGTGTGTTTTTGGTGTACTTCTTATATTGATGATGAAGATGAAATAAGTTATAAGAAAACGTCAACTATTCTCGAGAGTTTAGATCCTAATTTAGGTACAACACATTGTACAGTAGCTGGCTAAGCATACTCGTAACCATAAAAACATCTAAGACAATAGCCGCATACAAATTTAAATGTATTTAAATAGCAAACTGTCTAATCTTCACAATGACCGAGTTGGCTTCCATCATCTATACAACGCCATTTCCAATTTTGTATCAAATATTGAATAAGATATTCATCAACTATATTTTCAAAGCTTTATGTTTTTTTCTATTTCAAATAACTTCAAATGACATTTTATAGCTTGTAAATGAAATAAGAAAAGGACTTTTTATATCATAATATCATAGCATACTTTATTCCTAAAACTCCTCTGCATAGAAAGTCATAACCACAATAAAGTAGAAGTAAATCAAGGTATATTTTCTTTTCATAGTGAATATGTTTCGTGGTTCGCTGGAAAAAAACAACTGAAAAATAAATGTTTTTCCTGGAAGATTTCTCGATTTGGTGGTGCCTCATAAAAATAATTGAAGAAGTATGATATAAGAGACTGGAGATGCACAAAATAATCCCAGGAACGTCATATTTAATCTAATTTTGCCTCCAGAAAGTCGATTTAAAAGACGAGAAAAGCCAATTTACCAAATTACTGGAGGAGTATCTGGTAGCTTCATGGCGATTCTTGAATGGCTTAAGGAGGCGTGCAGTGTTGGCTAGCGTACCGTTGTTAGGAGACGGTGTTATACATAGGAGTTCGCACACCAATGGATAAACGTCAACTGAATTGAGAGTCGGGGCTAAAACGTTTGACCGGAAGTTAGGACCCATGGCATAAAATATCGACTTCATTGACATCAGGCGGTTATCGTATCCATGGTTACCTTTACTGTTATAACGTCTGGTATAGGTCGCATTCTGGAAAAGACATACAATTTATTACATCTAACTGACATTTTGGAATTACAAGGTATACAACATTTTTATCTCGTTATTCTTTTCATCTCGTATAGGATATACTCATGAATATGGAATATGTATAACATATACTTGTGATTAAACAAAAACAATTCCCGCTTTTGAATTCATAATTAGGACATGAGCCATGACTTTAATATGACTTGGACATGAAAAAAGAAATATGTAAATCAACATATTTTTTTGCGGTTATCTTATTTAAGTGTTGATTGGCGCGCTAAATTATGATAGCCCTGTTCTGTACATTATCTTTTATTTCATATTGTGCGAGAACAATGCACAAATCCGTCAAAATGCGCTAAAATTAGTACGTTTACAGTATTATGTTTATCTGCAATGACCTGAATATTGAATTAGTGTTAACAACTACTGTTTTCCTGACTCACTTAGCATCATCATATTTACTGACCCAAGTCATCATATCTACTGACCCAAGTCATCATATCTACTGACCCTAGTCATCATATCTATTGACCCAAGTCATCATATCTACTGACCCAAGTCATCATATCTACTGACCCAAGTCATCATATTTACTGGCCCAATTCATCATATCTACTGACCCAAGTCATCATATCTGCTGACCCAAGTCATCATATCTACTGACCCAAGTCATCATATCTACAGACCCAAGTCATCATATCTACTGACCCAAGTCATCATATCTACTGACCCAAGTCATCATATCTTCTGACCCAAGTCATCATATCTACTGACCAAAGTCATCATATCTACTGACCCAAGTCATCATATAAGTTACTGACCCACGTTATGGTCCAGCCTTCGTCGGCCACCACAAAGATCGGCATCACCCTCCGGTTGTTCTTGTAGTGCCACCTATCCGGTATATCAGCTTTTCTATAGGCTGTGAACTTCGGGTGACTATTTATATCATTTATAATGGCGTCCTCTTGACCATCCTCTGGAATCACGTGCATGATCGGACCGCTGTCCACTGTGCGTCTGATCTTGGATTTATGCACTAAATCGTATATCTCGACAAGTTTGTTGTCGTAATCTACTTCGGCCATCCCATGGTCACTCATGACGATAAGGTTTACTTGATCTCGAAGTCCATTTGCGGTCAACTTGTGCAAGATAGTTCCTAGAAGTTTGTCCATTTCTACGACTTTGTCGACAACTTCCTGTGAATTTGGTCCGTATATGTGCCCAGTTAGGTCAGGCTCGTGAAAATACAGCGTAACGAAGTTGAGCTTGTCATCCTTTAGCATTTTAATGACTATGTCTACTCGTTGATCATAGGTAATGGATTCGTTGTAATTGTACCACTCGTTCGGGCGCAGACCTTGAATCTTCACCTCACTTCCGGGCCAAAACATGGTACCAGACTTCAGTCCTTGTTTCCGGGCCGTTATCCATGCGGGCTCGCCCCCCTTCCACCATTTTGTCTCATGGTTCCGCATGGAAAAGTATTCGCCAAACTTTGGGTCATACATGGTATTACCTACGATTCCATGGCTTTCTTGATAAAGTCCTGTGATGAACCAGAATAGAACATATATACTTAAGATAAGGATTTGTGTCAAACATAACTACAGATAAGGATTAAGTGTATTCTTAGTACGATTAACGTTCCTAAATTCTAACAGAGGCGACGGTTCAAAGAAGAGTATGCAAGGTCTAAAGAATTTACTAAATCACATTTAAGTACGGACAATGAAATTATTATATAAATCAGTCAAGGGAAATTTCTCAATCTGATATCATGTGCTTGACGAAAAGTAAATGTCGCATGTCTGGTATTAAAAGAACTAGGAACAATTTGCAATTGCATTCCTTATTTCGGGCAAGAACAAGAAAAAGTCCTCCATTGCATTTTTTCGTTATGATAGGACAAGAAGTCATGTTCCAAGAACGATTCAAAGCAGGGGAAAGTTCCGAATTACATTCTTTCTACCGAGGAGAGCTAGGAAAATTCTCAAAAATCCAACTTAGTACCGGGGAGAACAAGAAAAGGCTTTTAAAAGGTTATTGAACGATGTTTGGCTGCATATGTCTCAATATGTTTGTCCCACTTTTACAAAATTCCCTCCTTTTAAAACAATAGATATGCCTACCTGTGACGGTGCTGTAGTGTGACGGGAAGGTTTTGGTGACAAAGGTATTGGTGACATATTTCGCTCTCACACCTTTCCGTGCCATTCTGTCAAAGTTGGGCGTTGCCGCTTTTTTGGGGTAGTCGTACCTGAACCCATCCATGGACACCAGCAGAACTTGGTTGGCGTATTTTCTATAGCGACTAGCTACTTTCCCGGTGAAACATACCGCCAGCAACATCAAAAAATACATGCACCGTCTGGTCAGGGCCATGGCGTAGTGCTAACACTCCTGTCACTCATACAAAACGATAAAAACCTTGATCAATTAATTGATAGATGTAGAAATTCTAAAATATGAGACCAGAAAACAATGTCATATGGTATAATCTCAACATCTTTCCTACATCTACAAACTTATATGGAATAAGAGCGAGGGTTTAAATAAGTTACTATAGTGACGGGAAGTCATGAACAAGATATCTACTTTCATGCTTTCCTACTCGAACACACAGACAGTCTGAGTCTTTATTTCATAATGTATACTTTACTTGTACCTGTATGAGTGTATCGGCTAAAGGTAACTTTTGGCTCATCATTCTAGCTTGTACTGACAATGTCCTTTAAAACGAACACGAGCGTATTCCCAATGATGTATACAAAAAAAAAAAATACGGAAGAATAAACAAAATCGTTATTCAAAATAAAAATGAATGGAACTAGGACGAAAAATTGAACAAAATGATACAAAGAATAAAACCAAGACCCGTTATCATGAAACCATATGCATTCTCATTCTCAAGCATGAAAGCTGTGCTCAAGCCAGTATTCCTCTGACTGGCTTAAATCATGCCAGACGATCAAATAGTCAAATGTAAACATTGAAAACAGTATTTTTTCTAATCATTGACAAAATACTTACAGGCTGGAGTGTTCAGTGTGTCTAAACGAATAGTTAGAGCAACATGTGTCTGGATTGAATAGTGACACACATGCAGAGCCAGATTGTATAGACACTCAATCTGGATTAAAAAGTAAATAGCTAAATACTCACGAGTATGGGCGGCCTGGATTCGTCTGTATAACTGTCTTGGTGTATATAGTAGTGTATCAAAATAATGAATTACTAATGGACCGATGATTATATGATAATTAACAACACATTACCGTCAAGAAAAGTGATCTGAAATCACATTGTGAATCAATTAACATGTTAAGGTGTGGACGATAAATAGCACTTATAAATAGCACTTATGACTGGAGCTGTCATTTGTTGATGCCGGGGGTGGGGGGTACAGAAATAATCCCATTCGCCACGGCATTTTATCTGTCACTGTGAGACCATAAGGACAGAGAGAATCATTTGTTTTGCACCAGTCGTTGACTGTTAAAACAACAATGTCAATGCAACGACTTGTACTTTTTTTCTTACTCTTTTGTTGTACAAAGAATCTACCAAATCTTACCAAAAGTTAAAATTTCTGGTTAGTGCTGCATGTACAGTCAAGAATATAGAAATGCCTTTAAACCTTTGCTTATGTTGTATCAAAATGCAAGGATATCGTCCAATTTGTACTTCAAGCACCTTCAAAACATCCCTGCTGGCCATCTTTGAAGGTTGATTATAGTTTTCGTGAGTGAGAGCAATATTCGTCCTGTATGAAACTAATACAGTTACCAGTTCATTCAATGTGTCATAACCTGATTTGGTTTTTTGAGATTAACGAATACGTTTTTATATCTTAACGAAGCCAATATCCTCAACTGAAATTGTGTTTTTAAAGAAGCCATTTTTTGCACTACTATAATTTCAATTCAGCCGAGGTTGGTCTTGTTATAGTTCTATACACAATGTTACATAACAGATAGATATTACATTTCAAAGTTGATCAATTTGGTAACTTCAATTGCTTTCTTGATAAAAAAAAGAGGACGATATTTTTCCAAGGATAATTTTGGACATTTTTTTTTTCTATGATAATAAAGATATCCATCAGTGAAACAAAATCGGTTTGTTCCAGGGAGAAATTCTGTCACCGATTCTATACAGCCTCTATGTAAATGATTGCGAAATAAAATGTATCACTGAAAATTGTCCATCTATTGAAATTGGTCTCTTAAACTTGTTTTTACTTATGTATGCCGATGGCACTGCATTGATTGCGGAGACACCAGAAGCATTGCAGAAACTTTTAAATTCATTATATGTATATAACCTAGAATGGAAGTTAAAACTCAATATCTCCAAAACCAAGATTGTTATCTTTCGAAATGGGGGGAACATAAGAGATGCTGAAAAATGGATCTACAACAACCAAGAAATCGATATAGTTAATGAATTTAATCATTTGGGAATGTTAATGAATTTTAACGGAAAGTTCACTGTTACCCAGAAACATATTGATAACCAGGGAAGAAAAGCTTTATTTGCAATTACTAGTAAATTGAAGAAATATAATTTTAATATTAGTACAAAATGTTCAGTGTTTGATATAAATGTCAATCGCATACTCGAGTGTGGAAGCGAGATATGGGGCTTTCATAAAGCACCAGAGATAGAAAAGCTCCATTCTGGGTTTTGTAAACGACTGATTGTTGTCAAAAAAAGTACAGGTACTGATTTTGTATATTACGAGCTTGGTAGACAGTCACGTTACATAAATAGAAAGTTAAACGTTATAAAATACTGGTTAAAATTAAAAGAATCCAAAAATTGTATATTGGCCATATGTTTAGAAGAGCGATTAATAATGCATGATGATTGGATAAACTTGGTTTATCTTATTTTTGGACTAGTGATACTGTAAATGGTAATATGTACAAAGTAGTTGAACAACGATTCAAAGATTGTAACACCCAGGAAATGAGAGCAAGAATTATAAAAGCTGCCAGAGATGACCTATACAAACATCTAATTGATCATTTTTGCATGCAATATTATTTACTGTAACCTATTGATAATAGATATAAAAAATCTATAGCCAGTATTAGATTGTCATCACACCAGTTAAAATCGAAAATGGCCGCTATCACAACATTGATAGGAGACGCAGAATATGTGAATGTTGCCAAAGAAATGAAATTGAAGATGAGTTCCATTTTATACTGCAATGTCCATTTTATATAGAAATTAGACAAGGGTATATCAAAAGGTATTATTATAAGTCGCCTTATTGTGCAACTGTTAAGTACAAATAATGTTAAGGAATTAAATAATCTTGGAAAATATATTCATTTTGCCTTTAAGAAAAGAAAAACACACTTTGGCTAAAAGTGAATATTATCGTTATATACCTCACATATGTATTTCAGGTAAATTTCGAATTCAAAGAAAAGCATGTCATCGCTGAAAACGAATTATTACTTTTACTTCTGTTTGCCGGTATAATATAAGTATTATTGCTGATGTTGTACAACATATATTTATTATTAAACTAAAGTAATAAGTGGTACATAAGTGGTAAATCCCTGAAAAGTAATTATTACTTATACTTCTGTGTGTGTGTGAGAGTGTGTGTAGGTGTGTGCGTGTGTGTGTGTGTGTGTTGTGTGTGTGTGTGTGTGTGTGTGTGTCTGTGTGTGTGTTAAACAGACATATATATGTTACTTTCTGTGTTCTGTACGCATGTCATGAGAGATCACTCTCCAAATATGTATGTAATATTATGTATTATATTTATGTATACCTACATGTATGGGTCGTAAGGCCCCCTGAATAAACTTGAATTGAAAAAATCAGTGTGAAAACAATATGTTGCTATTAGTTAAGATAATTGTGTCGGTAATATGATTTGACTATGAAGCTATGATTTGACTAAATCGACAGCTGTTTGTTGTTTTAACGTCGGTTGTAAGGGGAAATATAAAATCAAACTTGTAACGATCGGTATTTAACTGGAGTATAAGGAAAAAACCTGTAAAAAATACAATTGTAACCTCATATCAATTTTTTTCGATACAAAATTGGGTTATCGCTTGAGCGAATTGACAGCGACAGTTTGAAAAAAAAAATCCGTAAGTCAATAAAATCAAAGGTTAATGCGAGTGTATCACCTATGATTTTTCATAATTACGCCCGTTCTTGACCTCATATCATTAATAGATGACTAATTAATTTTCGTTTTAAATTAACTCTTGTGATAGTATTTTTTTTAGTTGTATGGTTACAAGTTTTTAAAGTACGACAAAATCATATATAACTAAATTTTTGTATGTATTTTAGGTAGTTGTATTTGTTCATCAGGATCTCCAGAAAGTCCAGACCGTTAATTAAAGCACATGGTGTACATGTCTGGTCATACAAATACAGTCTGACGGAGTTTATAAACAAAACACACCCTAAACACAGGTTTAAGTAGGAGCGGCCAGTTTATCTCTGGATAAGGGTATACACACAATTATTTTTTTATCGTATAAATGAAGGAAGGGTGGTTTTACCTCCAGAGAGGAAAACAGGACGTATTTCTTTTAACATGCACATGCATCAGCATATATATTTTCCCAATTTATCATATATTGGATTTGACATTTTCCTAGTATTCGTTAAAAGGGGTAACACTTAATCTTTTGTTGTTGCTTCCTGCTTTCATTTTGACTAATCAATATCGTGACCGACCGATATTGTGTAACAGATGTCTCGTTGTCCTCGTGAACTGTGCACTCAACGTTAAGCCTATACCACTTGTGTACTATTACTCTTTCAGCTGAATATATCCTCCATGCAATATCTGTAATCATAAATGTAGAAAATGAAGCCACCGTTACAAAGATATTTTATAAATTGTAACTTTCAGAGAACCATTATAATGAATCAATCTCCTAGAAAAACGAATACTTAACGAATATTTGCTATAATTACTAAAAATATCCATACAAATTAACCAAAATAGGAAATAATGGCATACTTTCATAACTTAGCCTGACCGATCAGAAATGACAAATGCATAACCAGTTAACATGTAAATACGTATAGTACATGTATATTAGCTGAAAACGCCATGTTATTAGTCCCCACCAGTACTTCCGGAATAATAGTTTTCGTTACGCACAACCGTCTGTCAGTTTGTTCTGCAGTGTGTCAGATTGTCTGGGCCACTAATCTACAATTGCCAATTTTGTATGGGAGTCACTATTTTGAAATACAGGTATCGTGCCACATCATACACAGAGTTATGTCCCTTTGTTCACAGTGAGTCCCATTTTCATGGGCACATCTCAAATACGTTGTCTTGTACAATTACTAGATGCCATTGTGGAGAGACTTTAAAATAAAATTGGGTACTGCCAACTATACAA